GGGAGGTCTCGGCTGACGGCTGCTGCTCTTCCCCTGCCAGCCCAAGATCGTGGAGGCCCTGCTGGGCTACGAGATGGTGCAGGTGGCCTGTGGCGCGTCTCACGTCCTGGCGGTTTCCAACGAACGGGAAGTGTTTGCCTGGGGCAGGGGGGATAATGGTAAGAGCTGCCTGCTTTGCGAAACAGGGCTTGTGCTTTCCATATTGCCTGTTCCCACTCCCCTCGCTGGCTCTGCTTGCCCACAGTCCTCTCCAGATGTGCCAGGCTAGGTGGGTGTGGAAGACTTGCAGCTGTTTCACCGCATACCAGGGCCCCCATGCTTTGGGTTTCTCTGCCTTTCGTGGCGATAGGTCCCAGGCTGGGCTTTTGCAGCAGCTACATCGATGCCATTGCTCGTGGGGGTGTGCTCAGGTTGTGTGTTGCCATCAGCCATGCCCTGCTCTGTTCCTCTGGCCAGGTCGGCTTGGGCTGGGTACCCTGGAGTGCCACAACTCCCCCCAGCAGGTTGTGGTCCCGCCGGAGCACGAGGCTCAGAGGGTCATCTGCGGCATCGATTCCTCCATGGTCCTCACAGTGAAGAACCAGATTCTTGCTTGTGGGAGCAACAGGTAAGGTGGTGAGTGTCTGCGCTCCAGAGCTTGCCTACAGCCTCCTGGGCCTGTCCATCTGCGTCCAGCCCAGGAAGAGGGAGCAACGGGCTCTAGAAGACATCTCTGTGTGATCCTACTCCCCAGCATATCGCTGCTGGTGGTGCAGTTATGCTAGGGCAGGGTTTGTCTCCAGGGTGTCTGCGCCAGGCCGCATTCAGCCGGCTCTGAACTGTGCTTTTGCCCGTGCTTTTGCCCGTGCTTTTCCCTGTGCAGGTGTAACAAGCTGGGCCTAGATCGGATCAGCTCAGCAGAGGAGCCTTCTCCGGAGGACCAGGTGGAAGAGGCCACCGTGTTCATGTGTGCCCAGTCGTCCCCCTTGAACCAAGAGCCGATTGTGTGTGCTGACATTGGTACAGCACACTCCGCTGCAGTCACAGGTGAGGGGTGTGTGCCCAGATCCCTGAGGGGGGACCTGCGTTTTCGTTGTCTTCCTCCTGCCTCCATTTCCCACGGGCAGAGGCCTTAGAGGGGCTCAAGAGGCACCGTGCTCTCGATGTCGGAGCTCTGTGGAGCATGATGTTCAGAGAGCAATGGGGTTCAGGGGCTTCAGTGCATCCTCGGGTGACACCCAGTTGTTTCTCTGGTTTCTGTTGTCAGCTTCTGGCCAGTGTTACACCTTTGGGAGCAACCAGCACGGGCAGCTGGGCACCAGCTCCTGCCGCAACAGCCGTGTACCCCACCTGGTTGTGGGGCTCCAGGCGATGAAGGTCACCGTGGTGGCTTGTGGGGATGCCTTCACTGTGGCCATTGGAGCAGGTGAGGCTGAAGCCCCTGTGTCCTGAGCTGCAGCAGGCCCTGGCTTTTCTCTGCCTGCAGTCCATGCTGTGGCCAAGGCAGGCCTTGGAGATAGCCTGGGGCGGTACCAGGGAGATGGGAGGCCTGTTTGCTGGTGAGCTCTGTGTGCAGCAAGGTGTGCCTATTCCTCTGCAGACGGCGAGGTGTGCACGTGGGGGAAAGGGGCCAGGGGACGCCTGGGCAGGAAGGACGAGGAAACGGGAACGCCGAGGCCAGTGCAGCTGGAGGAGACGCATCCGTACCTGGTGACCTCCGTAGCCTGCTGCCACGGGAACACACTGCTGGCAGTAAAGCGTGAGTGGGGGTTCTTTACTGTGATTCCTGCCATGAGAGCCCAGCCAGACACAATGCCTTGTGACCACAGTAACCCTAAAGCGTGAGTGGGGGTTCTTTACTGTGATTCCTGCCATGAGGGCCCAGCCGGACACAATGCCTTGTGACCACAGTAACCCCGGCATGTGAGCTCTGTGTTATTCTAGTCCCTCTAGAGCTGTAGATGAATAGAAATAACTTGAAGCCCATCAAAACTCCCCTTCTGCTATGCAGCACTGTGACACTGCTGCTTCCCCTGGGCTGGGGGAGCAGAGAGAGGGCAGAGGTGGTCTCGTGCACTCCCAGACAAGTAGGCTGGCCAGGCTGCAGCCAGCGGGGAGTTGGTGTGCTGGCGGTCCACCGAGTATCCAAAAAGAGCAGCTCTCTAATTGATGCTGCTGAAATAGAAGCTGAGATTTGAGGCGTCATTTTGGCTGCTGGCTTTCCATTGTGGTTTGGAAAAGATAGCGATGGTTTTGTGGTTCTTCTCTCCTCGGGCCAAAGGCAGCATTGTTGTGTGGTTAAAACGTGCCCATGGTGTGACCTGCCCTTCCGTTGCCTGGATGTACGATGGGAGCCTGGCCCAGGCTGCTGGAGGGGCCTTTCTTCCTCCTCTGCCGGGCTGATTATGGCCTCAGTACTGGGCTGACAGATTCCAATCCCAGCCCACTTCAAGGAGGCTAATTACACCCCAGAGGGGAGGAGGGCCGGCTGACTGCCCCGGCGCAGCGGACTCGGCCGTGACTCCTGTTCCTCCCCTGCGAGTGCCGAGCTCTCACGTGATGTGTGCTGCCACGTGAAGGGGACTGGGAATGGCTGAGTCCCCAGGCTCAGGAACAAGTAGGGCATTTGTCATGGGAGTAAAAGGGGTTTGTTTCTGCAGGAAGGCTGCAGGCTGCTTTCCCCTTCCGCTGCTGGAGTCACCCTGTGGCAGCTGGTTTGTGGGCTCCCACCTGCAGCACCGTTAAGAGCAGGGACTGAGCACGTAACCCCCACTGCAGCCCCGCTGCTATCCCTCTGCACTGCGCAGTCTGAAACCTCAGCTCTCCTTCCCGGTACTGGAAGCCCAAACTCAGCAGTGGCGGTGTCAGGGCAGCAGCCTCGTCTGCTTCAGCATCCCTCAGTAACCAGGGTGCAAAAAGCATCGACAGCTCTGTAAAAAGCTAATTTTCAACTCTGGACTTCCACGCAGCTCAGTCTGCCTGGAAGCCTCTCCAGAGAGAACAGGAGAGCTGGTGACATGTTTGATGTCATTGCCGCTGTCAGCTCTGGCTGTGATCTGGCCTGGAGAGAGTGCTGGCACAGGCGAGCGGTGCTCCACCTTTGGGGCGGCAGTCCTGCACCGCTCTGCGGTTTCCTCCCACGCAGCCAACACCGTTTTTAACTGGCTTGAGCTTCTGCCCACTTTATCGTGAGGCCATTGCTGTGCCCTTCTCTCAGTCCCACTGCAAACACGGGAATAACTGGGAGAAGCCAGGCGTGCTGGAGAGGAGGGTGCAAGCCTCAAGAGATTGCATTTCCTCCTGCTTGGGCTCTGTGCTGGGCATTGCCTCCTGCTTGTGCCGCTGCTGAGGCCCTGTGGCGGCTTCCTGGGGTAATGGGACAGGGATTGCGGTGCCCATCTGTTGGGTGTCCGGCCTGCGTGGGGCGGGGCACTGCTCCCTGTAGCTTCATCGAGATGGCGGCTTATGGCTTATTCTTGCTCCTTGCCCTTTGTGTTTCAGCTGCTGTGGAAGAGTCACCTTCCCAGTGAGTTTGAGTTGAGAGGAGCCACATCCAGCCTCGTCGTGTCGATGTGGAGGCACCCCCAGCCACCTGGCATGCCTGCCCTCGCTGCTGCCTGCTACAGCCTGGCTCGGACCTGTGTCCCCGGACTGGGGAGCTCCTCAGCTGTGCTCTGAAGGCAGCAATCTGGAAACAGGGAGCTCCTAACGACGGTTCCCATGGAACCAGAGCTGGTCTCACTTATCGAATCAACGAGGGTCTCTCCAAACCTCCAGTGCCCGAGAGCTGCTGCCCTGGACGTGCCATGGGGCAGGCGTCCTCAGAGCTCCGGTGCTGCCTTCACGGGGTTGCGCTGGGGCTCTGCCCCTCCCTGCTGGAAGTGCCTGTGTGGAAGAGTGCAGAGCACAGAGGTTGTTTTCCCCCGTGGAAACTGTCTCTGGTTACAAAGCCCAGGCTGACAGCTTGGTGTCTGAGAGCTGTCAGCCTTTGCACAGCAGCGTCTGGAGTTAGGGCCCCAGGCGCTGTACTGGGTGACTAAGTGCAAACCTCTTTTCTAATTAGAGAAGTCTGTCCTTTCCCATCCCCCCCTTAAAACATTTCACCCATTTGTTGAGCTGTTCATCACGCTTTCGAGGGTCCTGGCCTGCACAGCTGGCCGAACACGACGCGAGCAGCCTCTCTGTGCGGCACAGCCCCGCTCACTCTCCCGAAATGCTGCCTGGAGCTTTCCAATTACAGCCTCCCCCGGCCCCAGGAGCGCACTGGAGGATGCTGCAGCTGACATTTGTCCTCAGGCCCCTAAATCCTGCTGTTGACCAGCTCACTGGCTCCCAGCTGAGCTAGCGGAAGGCAGCAAAACACTGCGAGCGATTGTCAGTAATTGAAGTTTTTTAACCCAGATCTCTCCAAGGAGATGATGAGTTTTCACCAGGGATCCTTTCTGCAGGCAGGAGGGGGCATATCACTGTGTCACAGGCAGGAGTTAACATTTTTCATCTCCAGAAGGGTCGTTTCCTTTCCTTTCCTTTTTTTTTTTTTTTCCTCTCTTCTTTTTTTAACGTACATCTGCCCTGGGCCATTTTTTGATGAGCTTCTGTCTCTGATCTGTCTGACATTGCAAATGCTCTTGCCTTTCACATCCATCTTTGTGCTGTTGCCAATCTGTTGTGTATAAAGTCAGTGCTCTCATAAGCTGGCTGAGATGAAATCTCTCTAATTATTTTTGTGATTCTTTTTCCTGTTTTCAATGAGGGAAACCTCGCCGGGCTCTGGTAGAAGCCGACTGATCCCTCTGTCATGTGAAAGGTAATGAATTTCTGCAGGTCTCCTGCTTTTTCCTCCCTCGCTTCCCAGGCTCCGGCTGGGGAAGGGAGCAGGTCCCGTCCAGCTGGGAAAGGCATGTGCAGCCCTGACTGCAGGCGCGGCCTCCCTGTTTGGCTCCTGGCCGGG